TGTTTAGTGTTAATTCTATATTTTTACCCTCAACAGTTCACGAAATCTACCTAAAGAGTCAGTTGTTCAATTCGTCTAATCTATAAAACATTTACAGGACTGATTACATTCTAACACAATATATTTTAGCCAGAAACTATGTATGAAATACGATGAAATTAAATATCTCCTAACATATCGTAACAATCTACACATACTAATGAACTTTCTGTGAAATGATTTTTCGAAAACTGTTTCCTGAATAAAAGATCTTTGTATTATGGTGGTAAATATTCACTTTTAAGTATGCAAATATTTGATTGATTGTAACACAGTCTTCACTAGTTTGCTTTTTAAATAAATATTCGTGGTAACTTTTAAACACTATTATCTATATAGTATCGTGAACAGCTATTATGAAGGTGACAATACAGAAAGACTTTGAAATATATATGAGCTGGTAAATTAAATTAGCTTTAATACTTACTGATTTTTATAGAGCTAAGTACCTCATATGAAGAATATTCACTTATTATAAGAGTTTTTGTGAGTCAAGTAATGCGATTTAGATATTCTGTTCATCGAACAACAGTTTGGATAATTTATATTGCCAAAGATTCAAGTTGGCTGTTGTTATTGCATTTTGTAGTGTTGAATCTTCATTTTAAGGCAATAAAAATACGAGGTGGACAAAGAGAGATTTCTTCGGAATAAGTTCCTTATCATGGTTAACACTACATATCTTTATTCAGTTGCTTAATTTTAGACCATTCTTTTTGAAGCTGTAAAATTTTTAACTTCACTTTCAGATGTGAATTAATTATTCTAGTATTCAGTATGTTATTTGCTCCTTATTAATAAATAAAAACAAAGCACTGGGTATTTCGAACTTTGATTTTTTTTCCCATGTCTTTAGAGGGAGATATCCCAAAACATTTATTATCACTTACAATGGGCAAAGTAAACCTTATGGTCACCTTTCACCCATTCTTTGGTGAAATTAGATTATTTCTGAAGGAAATATGATCTGTTGGTCAATTCTTTAGCGTGAGTCTTTCTTTAATACTTCGATGGTCAGCTACAAGATTCACAACCTTTAGTAAACTGTTACCATCTAAAGTCACTGAGTTATCCAATAATCTTTTCATGTTGATAAACAAATTCTTGATTTTGTCATAGCTTTAAAGCTGTAGGCCAAACTATTCCAACCATATTACGTTTGTGATTGACATAAGTAGAACTATTTGAGAGTGTTTTATCATGGTGGGCTTTTGGTTTATCAATTACAGTAACAAAATACACACAATGGAATTAGCCATAATAAAATATCGATCAGTTTCACTTTTTAAACCTTCGACGTTGAGTTAGATTCACCTGTTCTGAAAAAACATATTTAGTTAATGCAATTGATCCTTATGATTATCCTTGTATTGAGATCATAAGACATATTATTCAGAGTAAAACAAATATACTTCACAGCCATTTTTACTGATTAACATTTACAGCTAACAATAATAATCATTTGAAATAGGTGTGTAACACGCCTACTGGAGATATTATATATCTTCTTTTTGAACTGTAAAACCCGACGATATAACCTGTACTAGCGAATGAAGGGTTTTACAAAATGTCTTAACATAGGAAATAATTAAATGCATTTTGTAATCCTTTCTCACTGATTACTCTTTTGATCGTAATTAACTAGACTATTATTTATTTAGGTAATGCGGAAGCAAACTGAATGGTCTGGGATAGATAATGTTGAGCATCTAAATCTCATCAACTTGGTGTCTACAGTTAATTAAGTGTGTAAACGGGAAACTCTTTTTCTCACTTATCCCCTTTCAGTTCAGCCATGACAGACGGTTCTCAGTAAATCAGCCCTCTAGTCATACTTCTTGTACTAGTCTGTCTGTTTACCTGCTTCAGTAGAGCTAACTACATTGAATTCGCTGCTTAATACGTCTACTTAGGACTTTTACTTGCAATATTTATCGATAGCAGACTATGTTTGTTAGAATTAACTCGATTATTGTTGGATGTTAAACCATTTGATAATTTTTATTTTATCTTAATCATCAATAAATACCTTAATGCTATGTATTTTCTTAAAGCTATCAAATTTATTGGCCTAAAGATGATATTTAACTGAACAGGGAAATTACTGTACAATTAAAAACTAATTAACAGACTCACATTCTTTGCTTCCAACATTATAATATGACTAACCATTTAAAATTTTTTTTACTGTATAGAAATTGTGATTAAACATCAGTATTTGTTATTGGTAAAGTTATCTGACCTAACAAGAGGTAAATGAAATGTCATAATTTGTATATAAGTCAGTCTTAGTTCTGAATATTAATCATCACACATAAACATATAACAGTAGAATTTTAATCACTCAAGATTACAGACTACTACCATGCGTAACTGCAACTTTGATGTAACGAAAACGGAACTGACCAGTATAAGTTAAAAGTAAATAAAATTAAGGCTAAGTAGATTACCAAGTTCTGTCAAACAGCATGTCATAACTAATCTTTCAACAGTAAAAATGCTGATTAACATGAGTTGACTATGCGCTAGGTAGTCTTAAATATGCAGATTCACTGAGTTCTTTGCTCCAAAAACATATTTAAGAACATGTCGTACATGTACTAACCATATTTTTAAGTAATACATGTAGAATTCAGAAGTCCGTGCTTTAGTAAACCTTTACAAACCAGAGAATAGAACATAATACCATCTAGTCACCAAATTATATATATAACATGATAGTGCGATTAAATAGTCAAACTCAGAGAGCACAACATATCTGAAACATCGGGTTATTTGTATATACAATCTTCAAGTGGCACAAATGGAGTACATCATACCTTGACTTCATACCTCAAGGTTCAGGAGTTTAGCAACGTTTTTGGAAGTCGTTTGGTAACAGAAATTTGTTCATACCGCTTGGCGAAGATACAGGTTTCTAGTTGAGAATCTATGAACTTGTGATCGATTTTAAAACCATCGTAACAACTAATAAAATGACCCGCTTTGACAGCTTGACATTCAATACACTAGTTTCTCTGAACTTAAAAAATATATGCTTAGGACGTGCGCAACCTGCATAATTAAATATTTTAAAATGTGATACCTTTCTGAGATTACGCCAGGGAGTCTCAAAATCAATAAGTAGAAAATAACATCTGGGTGGTCATAGTCACGAAAAAAAGTGAAACAAACTTCATACTCACGGCAAATATTCACTGAGGATTTTGTTTATCACAATTTACACCACCCAAGACCCTTGCACTTTTGTAAAAATACTGGTGAAAATACATTGTTCTGTCAAGATTAAAATTTTATTAACATGGTAAATACTTGCCTTTAACTTCAAACTTCTGATTATATTGAAAATTATTGTTGTAAACAACTGTCCCGGCTCCAGAAAAATAAACTTTCGTTTCAGATGTTACCTAGGTATCTATAATGTTATTTCTTAGTTGTCCACGATTTCCCTATTGTCTGTCTTAAAACACTAAGGCCTCAATAGTCCTGGAGAACACTGTTGAATTCCAACATTATCTTAAGCCTAAAACCTTGTTTTTCATAACCAGTATTCACGTAAACCAAAATGGATTAAGTAAGAACACTTAAACAACTGAGAGGGAATGGCGAGACTATAATTTATGGACGAATCAATCAGATATAAGATAAAGTCTCGATTTTTGGCGCAAACTTCATCCATACACTTGTCTAAATAGAGTTTCGGCATTATAGTTGATGTCAGTTTGTGATGAAAACCATAAAGTCATCGTTAGCCAAGATCTGAAGACTACTGCACACTGCCGTGCAACAGCCGCCAAAGCTTTTAGAACTTTATGGTCAATACATAGGGCTTTTATTCATGTCGACGCTAAAATATTTTTGACTTTGTATACAGTGTTCGTGCGTCCCAAACTTGAGTACTGCATACAAGCGGCTAGCCCCTGCTTAAAAAAAGACAGTGAGCTTTTAGAAAAGGTCCAGAGAACAGCAACTAAGCTGATTCCCGTAATAGCGAAGCTTCCGTATGATGCTCGACTGGCCAAGCTAAACCTATTCCCTTTGTCATATCGTAGAACTAGAGGCGACTTGATTACAGTTTTCAAATTGCTTAGTGATAAATTTGCACCTGATATGCTTTAATTCTTCCTGTCTTCCAAAACAGAGAATTTACGAGGACACTCCAAAAAAGTTCACAAGCCCAGAACGAATTACTTGTCAGCTGATTATCGACTTTCCCACCGAATCATCAACGAGTGGAATTCATTACCTCAACACGTGGTTGAAGCTCCATCCGTAGATTCTTTCAAAAGAAAGTTGGATCAACTGAGAGAACACAATTGCCAGGACTAACACAGGCCATCAAGCCTCCTGTCCTTTCCAAACTGAAACTGAAACTGAAACTTTTAACCCTAATCATCAACTGTAAATGAGAATTCTAAATTTACAGTACAAATCGTCAACCAAGAAAATATGTGGGGGGCAGTTTTTGTGTTAATAAGCTGTATGCTGATAAGTTCACCTTTAGATCGCATATCAGTAAGAATTTTTCCCGATCATTTTGAAGGAAAACTCGATTTTTATGTGTCTTTATCTATCCACTCGCATTGAGTACCAAATCTACTCTTCGTAAAGAATAATTGCGTACGTACTTATAAAGCTATTACAAAAAGCGATCACTCTTTAGTCATTATTAATAAGGGTAGTAGATCGGTGAACTCATGATAATCCTTGCGTCTTGATTTCCAGTGAAGATATTTTGGTCAAAAATGGCTTAATGTCTGTAAAGCCGAGTTGAAGACATCACACAAAACAGCCTTGAGGCTGCTTCGTTGACAAGTGAAGGAGGTCAAAAATTATTCTTTAATTTGGAAAAACTTGGGAACCGTACATATAGTTTCAAACGTACTATAAGAATATTACAAATTTTAAATTTAATGAAGACGAAAACTTCCAAAACATTAAACAAAAGCAATACGTCTTACCGACGGTGCGTAGTAGTTCAACTTTCCTCAAATCGAACTTCTTTTTATCAAAAGGAATACTGTTAGCATCCTGATTTGTTGTAGAATCTTTATTGTTTTGGTTGCTTTTGTTTTTTTTATATAAAAAAAGCATTCTTCGAACTCTGGAAGCCATGAAGTGCATCATTAACTCTTTTTCTTAATTCTGAAAAAGTGTTGTTTGGACAATAAGCCATCAATCGAAAACTAAATCCTTATTTTGAAAAAGTGCGTGACCATGAACGTGGACAAATTAGTACGCGAAAACTAAGCCAAAAAATTCAAGACTTATTAATCTCGTGGTGATCTTCGCCTCAGTATTAAACCTCTGAATCCTGTAGCAAACTAGACTGGAATTGTCTTAGTAAGGAGGTTGCTCTCAGATTATTTAAATGACAATGAATTCTAGCTAAGTTATCTGTCAACAACCCGATTAGGATGATCATGCAACAGCCTAGAACAGCGTATGTCAAGTGGATGCACCTGTAGAGTTAACGAAAAGTCACTGGATCCTAGCCAAATCATGAGGCAGTCTGGTCACATAACATCAAACAGTTCACCGATCCTCGTCAAGGTTAAAGACAACTGACGAGCATCAGTCAATTGACATCTATCAAGAGCAGGCCCTCAATCATTTGATGCGCATCATTGGCGTTTATGGTCTATATACCTCTTCATTAAACTCTAGTGAATCTATACCTGTGTTCTAACAACGTAAATTAGCTTACCATACGGACGGCTGCCTAGCATCCGCCATTCCTTTTATGAATACTAAACTGGTGGTGTGAGAAAAATTTCACGTTCCTTACTCTTATTATTATGGTTATATTCCATATGGTAGATCTTAACCAGAGTGTAGACACAGATAGCATAAATTATTGCTATTGAAGAGAGAATTGTCAGCCAACTGGCTGAAGAGCATGTCCTCAAAAAGTAATTCTACAATTTCTTCTATATTTGAACAGAGAATAAGTAAATGGTTACTGCTAGGATCCGTTTGTAGACTGTTATTGTAAATATTTTTTATTGTATAACCATGAACTGTATCATATTTACATTCGTATTCTTTTTATGATAAACTTCCGTTTGATCTACTGACTATTGTTGCACACCATATATAATGCAGGTGAGACCTATATTTACTCTGATGACCAGTAAACCATCTGTAAAACAAACACTTGCGATGTGCGTAGTACTATGCAAACAATCTAGCGTGAACTCAACAAGGTGGATAAGTGGTGTACGCTCTTTAGATTAGAACTTAACACAGAGAAATGCGTCTGGCTATTTGTTGGAGATACATCTGTCAGGATAGGACTAACATTTGACGAGAACTTACTGCCCAAAATCACGTCAATAACTGACCTTGAGGTGTATTACTCCCACAGTCAAAATTTCTCTGAACACATCTTCACTAGAACATCTGAAGTGTTGAAATGGCTAGGCTTCATTCTTTGTAACTTCTTTAAAAATGGATCTGAAATCATTCTTTACAATATACGTATGAGAACAATCGTCGGATCATGTTCGTTTCCATTTTTCAACTGACGCCAATCGGACATACTTAAGGTGAAAGGAATCCAACGGCATTTCACTCGTAAAAAGCTTGAAACTGATTCGCTCAATGACCATCGTTCCATATGCCATATTCTAAGAACAAGGCTTAGGTCTAATTTGATTCTCTACCTCAAGCTTCCCAAAAAAACTTATTTATTCCAAATGAATTAAAGTTCTTACCGAAGACCCACATATATACGACCGTTGAGATAACTTATCTACAGTTAAAGTTAAAAAATACAGATCAAAATCTCCGGAAAACTTCCTCCTCATCAAGTTCGCATTATTGTGGAACTGTCTTCCGTTCGTAATACACATGTTAGATTAACTATGTACTTTTGTTAGACTGCATCCTACTCAGACATCATAGACCTTTTGCAAATCTAAAAAATATAAGACTCTAAGTTAAATTTTCTTCGCTTTTCTCCCTTGAAATTGTACTAAAATAATGAATTGTATGACGAAGTATAACGCATATATATTTGGTGCTTCATTGTACCAATGTTCATGCTTTCTAATGACAAATATATGTCCCTTCTTAATTTTTACTTGAAATAGACAGATGACTCACTGGACCTACAGATACAAATCAACTTCAATTTGTTCCAAAGTACGCTCACTACTGTCCTAAAGAATTGTCATGATAAACACACGATCTCCTGGCTACTACCGATGATTTGGTATCTATGAAGCATTTCATATAGCAACTGGTTAGGGTAGCACGAAATACAATCAACGCCGGGTTAAAGAGTTTTCTATTGCCAATTTTCCATCATATTTCTACTCAAAAACTTCTCCTTTAGATCTGCTTGATTTACCGCCAATGAAAAGCATGGGTTGGGCATGGGGTCAGCATCTCCATCCCTTGGAAGGAAACATTCATAAAAACACTAGTGTATCTAAACTCCGCCCACCAACTTGAATGACACTCATTCAGAATTATGATACATCATAATGAAATCCGAGGTTCTTTGAGAGTCACGAGACAGGTGTCTTTTCTAACAATCAAGGCAACAACTAACATAAGTATATAGAATGTCTGTACAATGTGAGAAACATGGAAGATCAGTCAAATAGCTGCAGAAATGAGAAGATACAACTCGGTGGTTCACATAATAAGTGAAATCGATTAGGCCCAATCTGGATAGAAAAGATAAGCTTTGAGAGAGGTGCTGTTGAACTCTATTCACGGAGAAGAAAATGCTCCGCACACTCATGCAGTTGCTTTGAAGCTATCCAAAGAAGCATGTAACGCACCTATAGGATGGAAGGCTCATGGATCCAGAATCATCAAAACATTCTTCAAAAAATGAGGGGATCAAAATGAATATTATCCAGTTCTATGCACCCGACAATGATAGAAACGACGACAACAAGGATCAGTTCGATGAGAGACTGTTATCGATCATAGCGAAGTTCCCTAGAAAAGATCTCACCATCCTGATGGGAGACTTAAATGCCAAAGTCGGAATGCGAAACACCGGATATGAATATAGCATGGGACGACATGGGCTGCGAGAAAGGGACGAAAATAGTGAAAGATTTGCAAATTTATACGCATTCAACAAATTGGTTATAGGTGGCACAATATTCCCAAACAAAGACGTCAGATATTTACCCACATAGACATATTCAAATTTTTTAATACCTTTGTCAATTCTTCCTCACTGTTACTATGTATAACAGGAGCTTATTATCACTATTATTGTAATTATTATCATCCTGTAAAATCAGTATACACATTTGCGGTCATACAGCTTTGAAAATAAGTTCGCCGAAAAGAGAACTATTCGCTGAACCAACCCTTTTTATTTAATATTCAACATTCTCCTTCATTTCTGTCAGTACTCTACAGTTACTTAATCAGACAAAACTCATTTATAAACTAACAAACTTACATTAAATTACTGGTTAGAAAGTATAGAAAAAGTCATTTGATTTGTCAACTAACAATACATTAAATAATTTACTATTGTCCATTTGTTTTCTATTTACATTAGAATATAATTACTTATAAAATGTGGAAGTAATCTATTTGTACGCAGTAAGAAGATAGGCAAAATCTCTGAACGTAATTCGGTATTGTATTTGCTGGAAACTAATTTTCTATTCATTCTTCTAAATCCACTAAATCATTGGGTATTTCAGCGATTTCTAGTTCAATTTCATCCACAGGATATGTATGATCATATTTGTATTAGATAACCAATGTAATGAACACATTTTGTATGTTTGTATACTTAGTAACAATGAGTGAAATTTTATGGACCGAACTTCATTATTATGGTTAAAATAGAATGAGATATACATCATTACAGTGATTCAAAAATTTAGAGTACATAAAAGACACGAGTGCAAAATGAAAGATCGTTGTGTAATGTTCATTTCAGTAAATAAAGATCATTATAAATGAAAACATGATTTGATTAAGTACTGTGATGAAGTACTTGTGAAAATGAAATAAACAGATAAAATTAATGGATTCTATTGAAAAATATCAAATGTGATGAGTTAAGAGAAATATGGTAGCATGTAATTTCGAAATGAATAAATAGGAAAATGTCAGGTTAATCAAAACTGAAAGAAAACATAGAAGTATAAAGATAATGAAGTCAATCGCATAACTGATGAACGTAATCACTGTTTCGAAATACACAATAACCTCTATGTTTCATATCATTTTATGCCTATAATATACATATATACTCATATACAAACCTTGTTCATCGCATCCATTATTCTAATATTAATACTACTATAATTTTTTTGAAAATTAAACTGTCCAAATGAAATCTTTTCTAAAATATATATTTTGACTGGTAGATTGTTTATTATGATTTACTGTCTAATTTGAACACATAAATTCTGGTGCAAAAAGGCATCAAGTACATATGTGCTAAACAATAATAGTGAGAATGTGAAGAGATAGATTGTAGAATTCGTATAAGAAAAATAAGATCAAGGACGAACACTAATTAATGTGAGAGTGAATTAATAATAATGGGAGAGCTGGTTCAACTAGCAATATGCAACCAGAAAAAATTCTCGTTAAAGACGTAATGTTCATTTTCTATAAATAAAGTAAAAGGAAGTTATAGCAGGATCTCTATTGGTTTCTGTTCTGGTGGCATATCAAGCCACTGCCTTTCACCATCTCTAAGACCTCAAGCAACGATTTGTGAAGGACTAATGGAAGCCAGTTATGTACAGCTTTCTATCATATTGTGTCATACTCTGACCACCTCTGTCTTTTCCAACCAGTCTCAACGTCGAAAAAGAATTCACGACGTGTAATTCTCTCCTACAACGTGTTTAGAACATATCCAAGTAATCAAAGTTAATGTTTTAAGAAAGTGAAATCAATTGAATTATCGTCACCATTGCCGAACACACAATGCCGAACCTCTGCATTTATAAAATATTGTTGTCACTGGATATCAGCGATTCTTCGGAGACAACGATGATCAAAAACAAAGAGTCGTCTAACATCCTTAACTCGGAAAGTCCAGGTTTCGCAAGTATAGAGCAAACCTGCATTGTAGATCTGACCTTTTACAGCCAAATTAACATCACGAAGGCTCTGGCTCTCACTGTACGTGAATTGGTCTCATCACTGACGTCACTACTAGCACTAACACAGCTACCCAGATACACGAACTTCTGGAATACTACTACTACGGATATACCTGTAGA